AGTCAGCTGAAGTAGCCTGCAGTGCTGCATTTAACCACTGCGCCACCTCGGCTCTAGAAGATTACTCTCCTAATATACATGGGCTAGGTGAGGTCATTCTGGAAGAGCACCAGGTTGCCAAGAAGGGATGATGGCTTCCCAATTTCGCAACAAGACTCCAAGATATTCTCCACCAACCCAAGTGAACTTTCTAAATTCTCAATTATATTATTTCCTTTTCTTCTTTATGAGTAGCAGCATAATCCTTTTATGAGTAATTACCGCCTGAAAAAATAAACTTAATTCTGCTAGGCCATAGATGCTGATGATATTAAGACTGTGGATCTATACTTTTAGGTATGGAATTGTGTTTCATTTTGAGAAGAAGGTTCACAACAAATGTGTACTCCTGTTGTTTTAATCATTCAGTTGACTGTCATCCTCTATTAGATTCAGCTATTTCTTTTTCAAGAGGCTAGGAGTCTTTTTATGATCAGACATGCAGTGACGTGTTGAATTTGGAGTTTTCCTTCAGAAAAATTCAGGAATGTATTTATTATTTCATAAGCCATCTTAAAAAGAAGATAAATAGAAAGTCAGGACTTAAAAATATAATTGTAGCTATGAAAGATAAGAACTATATAGAATAAACATTATTTGTGATAAATAAACTAACTGTTCTTGTCTCCAGGATAATTGCCGTCGAGATGAGAATGTGTTACGTCTTTGGATCATTGAAGCCAAAGGTTTGGCCCCCAAGAAGAAGTATTTCTGTGAAATATGCCTGGATGAAATATTAGTTGCCCGAACTACCAGTAAATCAAAAGCTGACAATATTTTCTGGGGTGAACAGTTTGAGTTTTCTGGCCTTCCGCCCACTTATCACATTACAGTCCACATCTACAAGGACACCGAAAAGAAAAAGAAAAACTATAAGAATAATTACATTGGTCTAGTCAGCATTCCCATAGCTACTGTCACCGGTCGACAATTTGTGGAAAAATGGTACACCATCAGTACTCCCACAGTCAATAAGGGGAAGTCGGGTGTGCCATCCATCCGGATCAAGTCGCGGTACCAGACCATCGTCGTCCTTCCTATGGAAAAATATAAAGAGTTTGCTGAATTTGTAACCAACAACTATACTGAATTATGCTCCGTTTTGGAACCAGTCATCAGTGTCCGAAACAAAGAGGAGATGGCTTGTGCTATGGTGCACATTCTTCAGAGCACTGGTAAAGCAAAGGTAGGAATATGCACAACTACTGCTTACTTTGTTGGTGTATACAACAGACAATCCCAAAACCTACTTATAACCGTTTTCCAAAGTTACAATTGAATTTATTGCATTTATATGCCGCCCTTTTCCCCGAAGGGGACTCACAGTGGCAGTGGTGGGTTTCAAAAATTGTTCGAACCTACTCTGTGGATGTGGCCTCCTTTGTGGGAGTGGCTTGCCA